GTTCCGTTGTACTTCGGGAGATCAGGCATTCTGAACTTCTTCGGAATGGGCTTCGGAGCGGCGTTTGACGGGAATGGCTTTTGCACAAATTTCTTTGAATCTACACCCTTTAGGATCGAGGGTGCGCGTGGGATTTGATCGACCCTTGAATTGTAGGTCTCCACCTTTTTGTCATTGGCTTCTATCTTCTTTTCGCCCGATTCGGTCCTCTTCGTGAGGCCTCGAGCATCTTTATGATAGCAGGATCGGCTGCTAACCCGCTGTTGCTTGATCTTTCTAGTATTTGTTCGGCTCGAGGAGCCGCCTCCGGTGCTGCTATGCTTGGAGTTTTTTGGTGGCTTTGCAGTTGAGCAATTACCAGCTGTTGTGCCTGCAACATCTCAAAAATGACGTGAAGGCTAACCTCTCGTTCTTCCCGAGTCGGGGTTTTCTGAGCTTCTTGTTGGTTCTTTTGGCGTATACTCCTGTCGGTATGGGAGCTTATATCGACATGTTGGGCGTTGCGTGAGACCACGTCCACGGGAATTGGTTTTGGTGCATCCTCAGGGTTTCATGGTGGTACACCAATACCTGGAATAGCTACACCATTCTCTCCATGGTCCTCAGGACCGTTGTTCTCCTGTGCATTCACTGAGTTTGATATTTTGACCTGAAATCAAAGATTATTGGACAAGAAAAAGGGTGAAAGATAACTTGCGTTATGCAGTAAACCAGCAAGAAAATAATCACTATTATTTTTAGCCCCACGGTGGCCGCCAAACTGTTTACCTTGAAAATGGTAATTACAATTAGATTTGATTTTGTGGTTCTAAAAATACGTGATTTATTTTTATGCTAGTTTGTTAAGCAATGGATGCTAAGTGAGAGACTAGAAAATGAGATAAGGGCTTGAAGATGGTGTGTCAAGCAAACCGAGTGGTCGGGAATCGGGGCTTCGAGCTGGCTGATACGGGGCCTCGAGGCCAAGCTAGGCGTTAGACTCTTGAACAGTCGGTGGAGAACTAACAGTTTAAAGGCCTTGACGAGGGCTTTTTATGATCAATAATGAGCAATAAATGAAGAACAATCAATGAAATACAATAAATGTAAGTAATAAGATCAAAGGAAAATATGTTTAAGTTAGAGAGCAGAGAATGTTCTCGTTCTTGTATTCAATGTAGTGTGTTGTATGTCTTGTCTCCCCTTACAAAGCGACAGGGATCCCCTTTATATATGAGGGGAAATCCCAACATGGTACAGATGCATTTATTACAAAGATACGCAGCTGATACAGCCATTTAATGCCACAGTACGGGCTTGTACTAGCCTACTAGACTTGGTCAGCTTTAATCACATGCCTGAGGAACTTCCCGTTTTACCATCATAACCATCGATTTATATTGCTCTGAGGACGAACGTTGGGAACCTTCGTGGTCGAACCTCGAGTCGTGCCTCGAGCCTTTGGAGACGTGCTTGTGAAGCATTATAATAACCATAAAATCAGACCCTCTGATTTTTACCGTATACAAAACTTGTCCATATACTTATACCACAAAGGGAAAAAGGAACCAAACATAACATAAGTTGTGCTGAAACTTATACAGGTTAGGAAGAAAACAAGCTCACATGGTACAAATTATGTTGAATTTTATGTTGGTTGCAGATGAACAACCAAATAATTAGCACACAAGTTTGTGCATGTACTTCATACCAAACGACCCCTTAGGGGTTAAAATAAATTTTGGGAATGTAGGGGTTTCAGGGGGCTTGGGGGTTAAAATGGCGTTTCTAGCCGTTGCCGAAAACAATTATTGCAAAAAATGTCGTTGAGTAACGGCTAGGAACGGGGGATTTGCAGTCGTACCCTAATTTGTGCCACCTTTTAACCTGTACCCTATTTTTAAACATTATTGATTTGGTAGCCAGCTGACAAAAAATCCGTAATAATATGACAATTACACCCCTGACAAAAGATATAAAACCTGCATCACGCATTAATCACGTTTTCTGCAACCTTATTCGTGAATCTCCTCCTCTCCTCTCAGCAGCTTCATCAAAAAACCATAAACTTATCCAGATTCATCTTCAGAATCACACTTGCATGAAGTTGTTTCACGTTGAAGCTAAAACTTCATGCTAATGTAGCATGAAGTTGTTTCATGTTGAAGATAAAACTTCATGCTAATATAGCATGAAGTTGTTTCACATAAAAGCGTTCATGCTAATGCATGCAAGTTATTTATCCTGCAGTCTACAGTTTTGTCATGAGTTTTATCCGAAACTTCAGCCTAAACATGCTGAAGTTATTTAGTTCATTTGCTAAAACTTCATACTAGACATGCTTAAGTTTTTTAGTTAATTTGCTAGAACTTCAGACCAAGCATGCTTAAGTTTTTAACTTCAGACTAAGTATTCTTAAGTTTTTGTCCTGCAGTGTATAATTTTCTAATGAATTTTTGTTAATGCATGGTGAAGTTATTTAGTTCATTTGTTAAAACTTCAGACAAACATACTGAAGTTATTAAGTTCATTTGCTAAAACTTCAGACTAAACATGCTGAAGTTATTTAGTTCATTTGCTAAAACTTCAGACTAAACATGCTTAAGTTTTTGTCTTGCAGTATGTAATTTTCTAAAGAGTTTTTGCTTATGCATGCTAAAGTTATTTAGTTCATTTGCTAAAACTCCGTACCAAAACATGTTGAAGCTTTGTAACGCAGTTTACAGTTTTGTCCTGAGTTTTATGCGAAACTTCAGTCTAAACAAGCTGAAGTTTTTTAGTTCATTTGCTAAAACTTCAGCGTGAACATGCTTAAGTTTTTGTCCTGCAGTTTGTCAATAGTCTTTTATTAAAGAAGGGCAAAATTATCTTTTTAAAATGCTTTTAACAAAAAAAAATGGGTACGGGGGCAAACGGAAAAACAAAACGGGTATATGTTAAAAGGGGGCGACCAAATAGGGCGCCCCATGCAATTTTTACGCTAGGAACGACTAGATTTAAAAAAAAAATTAGGCAGGACCAAGACGGACCGAGCCAGGACTGATCCGGATAGGCCTTTAGCAGGTTTAATCGGGCCGGTCCAATAGGGGACCAAAACCAAATCCCTCCACGATCCCCTCCTACCCTTAAACCTAGGGGTATCAATGGTTCGGTTCGGCCGATTATTTTATAAATTTTGTACCATACCAATTTTTCGGTTATTCATTATGTATGAACCAAAATTTGACTTTTGAAAACCGTCCCAATAATATCGGTTTCTCTTCGGTATCGGTACGGTTCGGTTAATTTTTGGTATTTTTTTAAAATGTCATGCAAAAGTCACTAGTAGAAGTAGAATGCAATAACATACATACTTTTATAGGACTTAGCAAAACTCTCTCGACATTTTTACATTTTAAAGAGTGATGAATTAAGAAAATACGAAAGATGGCTAGAGTATAGATCCATCAACTACTCTATAACAGCGTAACAGATACTAAACAAATTAATAAGAAAATATAAATCACACGAGTGGAAAGATATTAATCAAACTGGGATTGGGACTCGAGAATAAAGTCTATAGAAGATTAAATATTCAAAAAGATAAATTTAAATCATACGAAAGAAATATAATCAATACATTGTAGTTTGCTACTCATAATCGCTATAATGCCTTGTTTCTTGCTAGTGAATATGCTGGAAATAATTTATTTTCGATGGGAGTAGCATAATAGGTTTGAGAATTATTATTTTGCGTTTATTACTTGTTGGCTTGTAATTGTTTTCATAATTCCAAAACCCAAGAAAAATTTAATATTTTATTATTTTTAAACTTAATATATAAATATATTTTTCACATGTAAATTTATTCGGTATGGTTCGGTATTTTTTCGGTTTATTTTCATAAAATAAAAAACCTACCCTAATTATCGATACGGTTATAGATTTATATAAAAACCTACGGTTTTATTAAAGAAACCTAAAAATCGGTTCGGTACGGTACGGTTCGGTCGATTTTTAAGTATCCATTGAAACCCCTACTTAAACCCATCCCCCTCCCATCTACGTAGGACTCGGGTGGTCTGCGAACGGTACCGAGACAGCCCAGCACAGATGACACCCCTAACCTAAAATATACACTCGAATTCACCATAACTAAGTCCGGAAAAGGATCTCAGTTTAAATGACAATGGCTGCTTTTAAGAATTGGCTCGTCTTCTTAATGGTTGTATTGATGCTTGCAAGGGACATTGCTACGATCATTGACATATACCTCGGTTATCAGCACAAATTCCAGGAGCACCATTGTTGCCTACCATTCCATCTTTTGTCTCAGCCAAACTTTCCGACCTTGCCAGCAACCGCCACCAACGCCAAATATGCCACTACCACCACTGCCCACATCTTGAACTATTGCTCCTTAGGTGACTTTGCCTCCGTTACCAACATACTCTGCCTAATATTCCAACTACTATCCCTTCACTTCACCACCCTTGTCAAACTGATACATCTTCAGCTACCAAATTTTGGTTTGACTGTTTCCCACATTATTCATCAACCCTTGAGAGTTCCTAGAGTTGATACCTGTGTCACAAGTATTTGATCTCTACTCTTGTATTTTCATCTCCCTACGTATTTCCCTTTATCCTCTTGAATAGCTTCTTCGTACGGAATGTATCTCAGTTTCTTTTCTTTCTTTCTTTTTACCTAACACGAACGGATAGCTATATTTGAGTGATACAAATTAAAGACGCTGGTTGTAACACAGGAGATGCAATATGTAGAGCAGCTATAGTAATGATAATAATACATGAAATGAGAGAGACGGGCAGTTTTTAACTCCCTAGCTAGTTAAAGAGGACCATTCATTTTCCTAGAAAAGTGATCTGATCTCCACTTAATTTATTTGACTATATCCATCGGATTATCAACAGAGCTCTTCCACATGGCAATTCAGCTTCATCTGTCGGGGCAACGATATGAGAAATTTGTTGTATGCCGCCAAATATCTTAGGTAAGGCACAATTCTTAGCAGAAAATAGTTCTCGAAACTTCAACTAAGCAAATAAGGTTCAAGTAATATTAAATACAGTACAGGTTCTAGAAACTGACATGAATTGATCTAGCAACTAGGCAGCAGAAGGGTCATATCAATTGCATACTTAAAAAGATAACATACATGACATTTGAAGTTCTCTAACTAACTTGAACCTCTAACTAACTAGAACAAGTACGGGTTCCATTAGCTACAGCAATCTAAAAGGCATAGAGGCAGCTACAAGTTCTTCAAATGAATTGGTTCAAATTACGACGCTGTTGTTGAACGAAAGCAAGCATAGCCACCTCATTGTTAATTCCGTTGTCTTCATGGACATAAACATGAATATTTTCCAGGAAGGCCTGATCATCTATGATGGCACTGCGCACACAAGACAAACAGTTTTTGAGCACCCTAAAGCAATCAGAAGCAGTGAAAGATACTGCAAATTGGAGAGAAATAAATCCAGCAAAAGCGAAAGGAATTAAGATGACACTTAGTCTTGATCTTTCACAACATTAGCCCACGACGAAACAGATTTAGTTAGCAAAATATTAAGGGCCAAAATACCCAATAAATTTTCCAAATCCAGTGCAGCAAAGGATTCTTCTACTCAATTCAAAATTTTCACTGAAAAAGTTACACTTATGCTTTTAAAACCCACGCAAAAGTTACATGATTAAGTCGAGTCTCTATAGTAGTAACTACAAAAAGCAAACCTACGAGTAAATTTCATGAATATTCATTTTATACGGCCTTACTATAATACGTCAGCTAAATGAGATAGTTGATGGTAGATTAGCAAATCAAGTTGCTTATATATTTTATTGATAACCAATTGAGTTTATTATATATGGCCGGATTGTTCTCCTTTCATCCTTATATTCGTAATCAGCTTTAAGAACAGAAACCCTTATCCATACAACCCAAGCAGTTCGCATAATAAACTACTTTCATCTCTACTTTATAACTCCCAATTTATACTCAATCTCTAAGCAGTGAAAGACTCAAATTTTCACAATATAGCTCCCTAAGGCCTATATATACCAAAAGACATTCTGCACTTGCTTCCATAATATAATGAGAGTAAAGCAGCAAACATCCCAAGATATAAAAGCAAACACTAATGCTATAATGCTTAAGCAAGCATCAAGTAATGGCATACTGTATGTAGAAGTATCAATCTGCTCAGGAAGCTCTTTTATATCCACTTCGAACCTCTCCTGAACCTATAATTAGTAAAACACAAGAACTCAGAATAATAGAAACACAAGAATAAAATATAAGAGGATAAATATCAAAGGTCTCTAACCTGGTTAAGAACATCAGAATCTGATGCAGACGACACAAATGTGATGGCAAGACCTTTAGTTCCAAACCTACCAGCTCTACCAACCTATACATTTATAAATTTTAGATAATTATGAGTACCTGCATAAGATGTAGAAACTAAAACACCAAAAACCAAAGAACCCAAAAGATAGGAATTACTCTGTGAAGATAAGTGTCTGCGGAATCTGGCATGTCATAGTTAATAACAATGTTAACCCTTTCAATGTCAATGCCCCTTCCAACCAAATCAGTTGCAACAAGAATTCTCTTGTGACCCTCCTTGAAATTCTTGTAGCGAGTCAATCTACTCAACAGAGACAAGTTATGTATTAAACTTACATCGTGTACAAATTAATAAGAAAATTAAGTGCGGCACAATATGCTTGTTGCAGCCTTCTGATTCAACTCAACTTCGATATAAGCAATAGTGATGAAAAATTAAACACGAGATGTGCAAGTATTAATCACTTCACAAGGGAAGAGTTAAGAAAAAAGTAGAACACTGATAAAGCAGGCTATCAGATATTTAATCCTGTGTTGTCAAAGGCGCGCTTAAGCCCTGAAGCGAGGCTCAAAACACGTTGAGCGCTTCGCCTCGCTTTGTGGGCGCTTTAGTGTCGCATCAAAGCTCTAAGACATACTTTTCCTTGCCAATGAGTGTAATCCTGAAAAGGCGATCTTAAACAATTGATATTTCACTTTATCATGCATTATTTTCAATTTCTTTGTCTATATATTTGTTATTCATGCTTATAATGATTAGTCTTGGACAACATGCATATTTTTACTTTTTCTCCCATTGCGCCTTTTTTCATTAAAGCCCACACTTTGTTTGCGCTTTGCGCTTAAAGCCCCAACGGACCTTAGAGCTTTTTTGCGCTTTTCGCATTTGATAACACATTTTAATCACATACATCTTGTTGAACAGATATCAAGATACATCTTAACTTCCCCATATAATCTTTATTAGCAATTTAGCATTGTTAATAAACTGGACCTTGGGAATAGCTCTGATAGGTATTATTTATTTAGCAACTTCCTTCTTTCTTTTCAACTCTGTGTACAAGGCTTGCTCATATTTCATCTTTTTTGAAGAAATTATCATTCTCTTAGATGTGCAGATTAGGGTTAATGGTCGCAAGGTTCAGGTACTCAGTTTTTACTTCTTTTTTCTGTCTCTTCCACGGTTCCACCTGTGAAGCTGGAGTTTAGCAGTTCAACCAAAGGAGATTTTTATAGGAAAGATTTTGAGGATGTGTGTGCTTTTATATACTAATGCTTTTTATTTTTCGGCTAAATGTGGAAGTTACATGATATGTTGCAAGTCTATGATGACTGAGATTTTCTTGTCTTAACTAGGTTTACATGAAAGGGATTATGATGTTTCTCGATGTAGAGAATGCTTTATATGCAATTAAATACAGGGATCTTTTGGGTTTAACGAAAATTAAGTACATCTCTAAGTGCATAAGCAGATAAAGTGGAGAGCTCTTGAAATAATAGCTATACAGACCTCTCTTCCTGAGTCATGCCAGAGTGGATGCAGATAGATGGAAAATTGCACTCAACAAGCAACTTGTTCAGCTGTGCTGCTCTGCTCACGCTCTTGACAAATATAACAACTTGATTGAAATCCAAAGCATCCAGCAGGTCATTCAGCTTCCGGTTCTTCTCCGTTTCGCTCAATTTGATGTAGTGCTGTCATGAAATAGAAACAAGGTAAGAAGACGACTAATTTTAAGAAATGGTGGTACCATGTCCAGGTCCCAAAGATGTACCTGTACAAGTCCATGAAGGGTCAACTTGGCCTCATCGTCAACATAAATTTCCATTGGCTGAAAGGAATAAATGTCATACCAAAGCATATTAGGAGCTCCGTGAAGCTAATGGTATCCAGTACGAAATGAATAGGATGAAGATCCCCCTGAATCAAGATTCCACTCCATTTTTCTGAATTTTCTCCTTGCAGATGGTGTAAAAGCACACCAACGATTTACCAACATTGCTAAACATGTATTCTTACAGTGCTGAGAGAAAACCACCGTAAAGCTGCAACCATCCACCCCAACCATTTTACTCCATTTCCACTATAGATCTTCCCCTGACCTCGATCTTTTCGACTATCTCACAAGCAAAACGAAAAATGGAAAGATAAATAGGGACAAAAACAAGCAAACTAAAAGCTTAGTGCAGTTATCAGATTTCCCGCTCAACTACTGAACTCTAATAATCCCTCATCTTTGAGCTCCCTTATAAACTATGCTTTGACCAGATACAACTTATCTCCTGCAGAAAGCTGAAATTATGGAAAAATGGGTAGACTTCTAAATTGAAGAACTTGGCACAGGACATTACATCTTGCATAAATTTCTTGCAAACAGGGCGGATCTCTTTGCTGAGTGTTGCTGAAAACATCATTACTTGCTTGTCATGAGGAGTCATCTTGAAGATTGTCTGCACATCTCTTCTCATGTCTGAACAAAACAGAGGTAAATCAGCAAAAGAGCTACTGAAAGAGAGACCATGTCAAGTTAGCAACAGGAATCATGAATTACAGTATCCAGCTAATACATACTATATGTTGCGCGGATTCTCCAAAATGCTGCCACACCCGTGTCGGATCCTCCAAAAATACACTGCTTTTGGAGGATCCTACACTCGCCCTGAGATATTTTCAGAGAGACCGAGCAACATATTTATTTATACATACCAAGTGATTCAAGCATTTTGTCGCATTCATCCAGTATAAAATGCCTCACGTTCCTCAAAGACAGGTCCTTGTCTCTAGCCAATGCAAGTATTCTTCCAGGAGTTCCAACAACTATATGTGGGCATTCATTCTTCAGAAGCTCCTTGTGAAGTTTGATATTGACACCACCATAGAAAACAGCAACCTTGATATCAGGCAAATACGTGCTGAACCTCTCAAATTCATGACAGATCTGCAGCAACCAAATAACCCCACACAAAAATATCTTTAACTTAGCATAGATTGGCAAGAAGAAGAAATTATGAAACAAAAATTGCATATTTCATAATTTCAATACATACCTGATAAGCTAATTCCCTTGTGTGACATAGAACCATGGCAGCAACCTGACCAGCAACAGGTTCAATCTGTTGCAGAGTTGAAAGAACAAAAACAGCAGTTTTGCCCATTCCAGATTTAGCTTGACAAATAACATCCATGCCTAGGATTGCTTGTGGAATACACTCATGTTGCACTGATGAAGAACCAAATAAATTGGAGCCAAGGAGACCTCAGTTTCAGTTCAAAAAAATTTATCATTGTACGTACACCTCCAAAATAGTAGCGATAGTGATGATTTACCTGAAAACAGAAGATAGAAAGAAATCATCATTAACTACCTAAAAGACAAGGAACAGCATAACAAAAATGAAAAGCGAATCGAAAATATACAAGAAAAAGATAGAACTAAATCTCCACATTCAGCAATATCTAAAAAGATATATATACTGATTAAAAATAAATAACACCACATTCCAGAACTTCCGAATGGAATTTCTTTCACACCCGCCAAGCTTGCTTTGGTAAAAGCTATATGCTTCAATGCAAAGGATGACATAACATGACTGCCTTCACAACTTTAAAATTAGAGGATTCAACTCAAGACTGTTAACCTATCAAAAATTCATTAAGTTGAATGCAGGCCCAACACGAAGCCTTTATATTGCTCAGTAGGATTTGAAATCGCACAAATGAATTCATATTTTTATCAGTTCCAGAATACTATTACAATTCCCGATCTTTTCTTGCTAATGGTGGTTCTTCCGAAGATCATGTCCGAATTGTTGTTAACTCCAGTACATTTGTAGGTATAAATAAGTAGATACGTCAACTTTGTAAATGAAGAAGATGAGTATAAGACTTGTTCCAGTAGAAGCTAGTCGTATATAGTTTTCACCATACTTATACAATGATAAATAACTACTCCCTCCATTCCAGTTTATGTGAACCTATTTCTTTTTTGGTCCGTTCCAAAAAGAATGACCTCTTTCTAAATTTGGAAACAATTTAGCTTAAATTTCTACTTCTACCCTTAGTGAGAAGCTTCTATAACCACACAAATACTCTGGACCCCTTTTTGACTTGTTTAGTACCACAAATTCCAAAAGTCTTCATTTTTCTTAAACCCCGTGCCTAGTCAAACAGGTTCACATAAATTGAAACGGAGGGAGTAAATAAATAACTCAAAATCGCATGTACTTTCTACCAGCGACTTGCATAAGCACCTTAACATCCAAATCTATCAGAAAAAATAAGAATAGCAGTGGATGCACCCCTGTTATGATCAAAGAAAGGAATAAGTTTTGAGTTATAAGTTATCAAAGTCTTTGCTCACACATTAGGGTAAAGTTGTTTTGTTCAGAGTCAAAAGGAAAGTAAGCATAAAATATCACTTTATAACTCGAATGATTACATTTGTCAATCATATAGAAGGTTGGCTTGTTAGATCTACATGAACTAGGAGTCGGGTTAGTCGGTTTCCCCATTGTTGGACCAACTTGTCTGAACTTTCTTGCTCTTGTAAGCTCATCTTGACCTATCTATGCTCACTACTTCGGTGTCTGATAAGCAATTTCCCTCATATTTCTTTTTAGAAGAACCTACTTTAACTATATTTACAAGCACCAATAACGGCACCATGAAACTGACACCACCGGTATCTAAAGCATATGGGCCAATATAGGCTTGGCCCGTTGGCTGGCCCAGCCCAACCCATGATTAAGAAGGGTTGGGCTAAGATTTTTGGAGCCCATTTAAAACCGAGGCTTTTAAGCACGGCGCAAGTAAGCCCGCGATTCGTGAGGCTTGATCGAGGCTGGACCGCTGGCCTGGGCCAGCCTGTGGGCCTAACAAATATTTAATTATAAGTATAAAATTAAAGGAAAATAGGGAACTAAAAACAACAAAAAGAGTAGCCCAAACTTAAAAGTTTATTAATCTCATCATATTAAAAGATTATAGTCCTAATATTTATTCATATTACTATAGTAGCATCGGAAGCAACATTCTACATTGGTGGGCGTGTTCTCACCAAGTATATAAGTTACATCCTTCGTGGAAATGTCCAACCAGTGCAATTTAAGCCTTGAAGCGAGGCTCAAAACATGTTGGGCGCTTTGCCTCGATTTGTGGGCGCTTTAGTATCGCATCAATGCTCTAACGCATACTATTCCTTGCCAATGATTGTAATCATGAAAAGGCGACAATAAACAATTGATATTTCACTTTATCGTATATTTTTTTCCAATTTCTTTGTCCATATATTTGTTATTCATGCTTATAATTATTAGTCTTAGACTACATATACATATTTTTACTTTTTCTCCGGTTACGCCTTTTTTCATTAAAGCCCACACTTTATTTGCGCATTGCGCTTAAAGCCCCAACGGACCTTAGAGCTTTTTTGCGCTTTTCTCCTTTGATAACACTGTGTCCAACACATGTTACTACGCAAAATTGGTTGCGTTGCTTTTCCCAAACTCAAACTAGTAAAAATTTTAATGTGATTTTAAATACGGAGTACGATTAGTTCTTAAAAAAGTATTTCTTAATGTTTAATTAATTAACATTGCATACGGAATTTTAGATGTAGATGAAAATAAAGATGACGTGATGGCGTTGGATATGTCATAAGTCCCCATGGATGTTTTTTGATTAGTTTGTATTGAGTTTTGACGTTTAATGAATAGAATATTATCCTCCCTCAAGTGTTTTATTGTAATCTATTGAAACAATGCCAAAAGTTATCAAGTTTTGCAGACATTCTGTACAACAAGATATTTTTCCATTTATATATATATATATATATATAGTTGCATATTTAGGTTAGAACCTACATTTTAAAAATATATTTCTAAAATGACGGCCCAGCCGGTGGGGCCCACAGCCCACGTAGGACTGGGCTAGGCTAACCATTTTAAGGTACATGAAAGTGGTGGCCCGGCCCAGCCCATCATATGTCAAAGCCCACGTGGGCCTATATTGATAGCTCTACTGGTATCTACTTGTATATCTTCTTATCTATTCAGGGTAAAGATGGTAAAACGGGAGGAAAATGTTCTCACGAGCAGCAACCCAGATTAACAATACAACGAACAAACTAAGAAAAACATTTTCTGTAAAATAAAGTGCCCGCATATGAGATGACTTACCTTCAGATGGATGCTCAAACCCTGAATCTACAATAGCCCGCAATAGCTCTGGCTTTAGCAGAAAGTCTCTGAATCCGGAACTGTGAATGCCAACATAACCCCTGCATTTTGAAAAATAAAGCATTCCAAAACTTAGTCAAGAGTGTAATTACAATAGCTACACTACTAAACTAACATATCCTTTTAACTTTCTTGAACCGAGGGTCTACCGAAAACAGTCTACCTTATTAGGGTAGAGTAAGGTCTGCGAACACACTACCCTCCCCCGACCCCACATTTGGGATTACAAAGGGTTTATGGTTGTCGTTGTTGCACTACCAAACTAAAACTATGCATCAATACCAAACTAGTTCAGATCAGCTATATAAATACTAACATTCCTATACATTTACCCATTATATTCCATAGAACACAATCCAAGCTCGGGAAAAAAATATCCAAAAAAATGGTCAAGCAAAAATATAAGCATACGTACGGAAATGTCAAAACGGATGAATCGTTATATATATAAATATATATGTGGGTCTTGCTAATGTATTACCTTTTCATGTAGTATGTTAGCAAGGTACCCATTTTCATTTTCCAAAAATACCTTTGCATTTTCATTAATAGTAGGGGAAATTTTTGTCTTTTCATAAAAAGAACACCTAATTCTCCTTCCCCCCTCTTTGTGCACTTTCCTTCTTTCCATCGTTCATGGAGAAATCAAAGCAGAACTAGATAAACGATTGAATCGAAGGCCGAAACCCAGAATAGCTCTACTAATTTTTATTCTATCCGCAGCAATTTGACCATGGGATTTAATGGGGTGGTGAAAAAAATTGTATCCCTTTCTCTTTTGGAGATGGAATTTTATTATAGCATCCATTTGTAGAGTAAAAATTTGGAAAAAGAATGTATATTTTTAAGATTTTATCATATATAGGAGATAGAGAGAGCTATTATCAATACTATAAGAAGAAGCAGTGGCAATTATTTCTTCAAGAATGCATGGTATCGGCAGCTGACAACCAAAATCTAACTCTGTTTAATATGACAGAAAATTTTAAGTGTGCAAAACCCATATTCCATCTTCAATTATTTTTTTCACTCAGCAAATGAGTACAGAAAAGCCCCCATTTTATGTATCACAAAACCCATATTCCATCCAGCTTCTAACCCCAGATGGCTTTCAATTGCAGAAGTCATTGCTAAAAGAAAATTCTCCGCTTATAGAGAAAACATCTCCCAGAATGCAAATTACTAAAAGGTTGTTTTGTTTTTCCGCTAAAATGGGAGTAGAGATTGAAGAAGAGCAGGGGAGTTAATTTTATGAGATAAAACGACGACAAGGAGTTAGAGATTGATGAAAACGAAGGGAGATTGGAGACATTTTATGTGTGAAAAGACAAAAATTACACTACCTTCATGTAGTATGTTAGCAAGACCTCATATATATATATATATAGAGAGAGAGAGAGACCTCATATTAATTTTATGAGATAAAACGACCACAAGGAGTTAGAGATTGATGAAAACGAAGGGAGATTGGAGACTTATTATGTGTGAAAAGACAAAAATTACCCCTGCTATTATTTGAAAAGTAGTGGTATTTTGGGTAGAGCAAAAAACGGAATCTTGCCATATATATATATATAGAGAGAGAGAGAGACTGACTCACTGACTCACTCACTGACACTGACTGACTGACTCACTCACTCACTCAGTGAGTGAGTCTTTCCAAAAAGGATAGACATCTATCTTTCTATATTGAAAACAATTTAACTTTAAGTTTCTAAGTTTACCAAGATCTGCCCGGACCCACGGTGTGGAATAATACCGGGTATGTTGTTGTTGTTGTAGTTTACCAAGATTTGTTTTAGACAACATGTTTCAATTTCTACATGCTACGTGCGTGCTATAAACACCAAAAACAGGTGCTTTTTCCTGTTGGGACGGAGGGAGTAATATATATAATACGTGTATGTATATATGAACACCAGAAACAGCACACATGTAAGAACAACCAAGGGTAACAGAAAATTCAGTAGTGAAGAGTAAAGCTCACTTCTTGGCGGACTCGCCGCTAGCTTTAGCTGAGATGGAATCAGGGGCTTTTTCGTCATCTTCTTCGTAGTCAAGAAGCTCCTCCTCATAAGCATCGTTCTCCTTTGTGTCTCCCATTATTCCCTACTACTGCTCTACCTGAAACGCACAGATCTAAGCCACAAAAGCAGGAGGAAATTCCGATTCAGTACGCAAAAAGAAAAAATTAAGATAAAATTTAAAAAAGAAAATCGTTCTTTTTGAAGAAAGAACCAATTACCTTTTTGGATCTTTGAAGATGGTTGAGCTCCTAGGGGGATTAGGGTTAGGGTATGGAGCGTCTGCAAAGAAAAACCTTAGGAGAAAATAGCAAAACCAAAATTGTGTTGAGAGAAAAAGAGAGTGGGGGCAGTGATAGGGTTTGGCACTAGAGAGACAGCCTAAAATTTTTTTTGTCTTTGTTAGGGTTACGGATTTCAAGATGTTATCCTTTCATTTGTCCAAAAGAGAGAAATACAGAAACAAACCACAAATATCTCTCTCTGTGAAAAATACCAGTAAATTTAGGAATTATTTTTTGGGGAAAAGACAGGAGTACCTATAAAGGTGAAACTATTTACCCTGCCCTATCTATTAAAGAATTCTACCCGCTAAATAATTACAATCTCCTACCCATTTAATAAATAAACGGGAATATCAAAATAACTACCCACGCTTAATGCCCTACGTATAAAAACGCAAAAGCTGCTCAAAATTTCAGAAAATCAGCGCACAAAATTGAGATTTCCACTGACATTCCCTAATTTGAAGATCACTAAGTGTAAAAAAAAAGATCGAAGATGCTGATTCGCATCTTCTTTTCAGATTTTGATTTCGCTGTTGTCTTCAGATTTTGATTTCGCTGTTGTTTTGATTTTGATTTCGGAGCTAAACTTCTAAATTTTAGCTGAAAATTTTAATCTAGGTTTGGAGATCTGGAGATCTAGAGGTTTGATTTCGAAAAATCTGTTGTAGCTATATACTCTTGAAATTTCGAACACTGTTGATTTCGAACACTATTGATTTCGAACACTGTTGAAATTTGCATTGTTGAGATTCAATTTTGGACATAAAAGTGATTATAACTTCAGAATAATGGAAAATATTCCAATTCTGCTGCAGCATAGTGGAGAAAGGGATGATAACAATAATTTCATAAATTATCATGTTGATGCAATTCTAATAAAGACCTATTGGAAATTTGAACAATTTCTCAGAGATATTGCAAAGCAACTGCAAAAGGACAGTAAAACAATAGTTATTCAGTATGATATTGCTCAAGGATATCCACCAATTACAATTTGCAGCGATATGAGTGTTAGTGTTTACATGGAATTGAAAAAATCAAGTGCAGGGATAACAACACTTCCCCTGTGTGTGTCGTTTGCTAAAAACACTATAGCTGCAAGCACCTCCAGTTTCGATGTTGCTCCAATTTCATCAGAAATTGCAGAATTTGAAAGCACTGATATGATTACTATGTTTGATGTGCAAGAAGGAGATGACGCCATTGTAGAACTTGATGATGCAAACATCATAACTGATCAATTTCATCAAAATGTTGAAAAAGGACAAATTTACGAAGACAAGAACCTGCTGGTTCTCGTTATGAAACAGTATGCAGTTAGAGAAAAATGTCAATATCGGGTTCATAAATCATGCCCAAGAAGGTTCGTCTGCATGTTTTCAAGTAAAAAACTATGTGATACCTATATAGTATATAAGTATGCTAAATCAGTATACTATGCGAGTATGGAATTGTATTGGTTTGTCTGTGTTTTTTATCGGTGATACTGGTATAGTATATAAGCATGCTATATCAGTATACTAAGCGAGTATATAACTGTATTGGTTTGTCTTTGTTATTATCAGTAAAACATAATACCAATATAGTATATATGTATGCTAAATCAGTATACTATGTGAGTATAGAATTGTGTTGCTTTGTCTATATTTTTTATCAGCAAAATATGATACTGATACAGTATATAAGTATACCAACAGAGTATACCATGTGAGTATATAATTGTACGGATTTTTGTATGTATTTTTTTATCAATAGAACATGATACATAACTGTATTTGTATTATAAACAGGTATATCATTGAATGCGTGGATGAAAGATGCACTTAGAGACTTAAAGCATCAAGCCTGCGAGCATCAAATCTTTTCGAAGTGACGGATTTCAATTCTGTCCACAGTTGTTTAACTGATAAGAGGTTTTGTTCANTATTAGTATCAAAAATATGTAGCAGAAATAGAAGNGGTTGCTGCAAATGCAAACATTTGTACATACTTTGTTAACAAAATGGGCACGCTTTGCAACTCATGTCTGTATTGAAGTATAACAAATTGGAAGGCATTTACATGCAGTTATTGTACATCATCAGGTACATTAATACAAGGTGATACCCAAATGTTATATTTGTATACCTCGCTGATATATAGTGGTATTGAACTAATATGGCTAAAACAAAATATGCGCAGAAATACAAATGGTGCACCAGATACAACGTGATACCGAAAATGCGCACGCTTTGCAACTCATGTCACTACTTACATCTAGTTGCTGCAGGAAAAAAGGTGAGTCAAATACAATGTGATACCCAAATGGTATATCAGTATACCTGATTGGTATATATTTCTACTGCACTAATACACCATCTATGCTAAAACTACAGATGTACGTTAAAGTTTAGACCATCATCACATTCGAAAGCAGATCATTTAACTTCGCTTCATCTGCCCCTAATTTTCACTTGCAGAATCCATTAAACCTTACCCTCTGGCAAAGGAATGGACCTCGGCATCCTAATAAACCAACAACTTTATGGAAGAAGCCTAAGAAAAGCCTAATAAAACAAGCTGAAATCAAAAACAAAATCAGCAAATTTCCAGCATCAAGAGACATAACTAAACTGATAACCCCCATGTACTTGAAGAAATCTATACCACATATTCTGAACCAGAATAATTAAATATGACAAAAGAAACATTAGCAGCTGGAAATATTTTATAAAGGCACAAGTTTC